ATGTTGATGTCAACTTCGAAGCACCCAAAGCTGATGTTACATCACCAAAGGCCAAAGCAGAGGTCTCTGTACCAGACGTTGAAGTCAAAGGACCTTCAGGGGTTACTTCAATGGAAGAGCCATCTGCTGCAGAACTTGATGCAAACTTGAAAAAAACTAAATTTTCATTACCTAAATTTTCTTTTTCAAAGACAAGTGTTACAGTACCTGAAGTCAGTGATGAGCCTCCACATGTTGATGTTTCTCTTCCAGAGGGAGAAGTAAAAGTCAAACAACCTGCAATGGAAATGAAAGCTCCTGAGCTTGAAGCTGAACATGATGTACAAGGAACCAAATTTAAATTGCCAAAGTTTGGCATTGCACTACCAAAAGTAAAAGGACCTGAAGTCGATTTAAATGCATCACCGAAAGACATAAATGTCACACTGCCAGAAGTTAAAGCAGAGATCAAACTCCCAGAAGTTCAAGTCAAGGAATCTTTGGTTAGTGTGGAGACTGAAGCAAAGTCAAAAGATGGTGGAGGATCACCATTAAAATTTAAAATGCCAACACTGCAAATGCCGAAATTAGGAGGTGCTACCTATGATGTCACTGTAGAAGCTGAAACTGATGGAGCTAAACTTAAGGAGGATGTTGCTGTCAACATCAAAGGTCCAAGTGTTGATATTAAAACTGATATGTCCAAAACAGCAATATCAGATTCTGAAACACCAAAGACTGAGACTGATGGTGTGGGTCAGGTATCTCCAAGTAAATTCAAACTGCCATCTTTTAAAATGCCAAAGCTGAGTTTCTCAAGACCCAAACCTGAAGATGAACATGTCCCTGGTGATGATGAACGCAAAGATGATCAGCTGAAAATGGAAGTTGAGCCACAAGAAGAGACTAAATCACCAAAGTTAACTTTGACATCATTTGGTGAGCTCCTCAAAAACATCGATGTTGAATTTGATGTTTCAAAAACAGACAAAGGGGAAGAAAATCTTGAAACCTTAAAGGAAGTTCATGAAACAAGTGAATCCAGTGGAAAGCAGTTAAAGGCAAAAGAAAAGGAAACAGATAAGAAGCAAGATACTACTAAAAGTCCTGAGAGGACAGGTTGGTTTAAATTCCCCAAGTTTGGACTTTCCTCCCCATCAGAACCTGCCAAGATTTCTGAAAAAGATGAGCACAAGGATGAAAAAAGCCCAGTAGGAGATACAGGGGATGAGGAAATAAGCCCCACCTGCTCTGTCCAGTCATCTGACGCCTTTGCTGATATTAGCTCTGCAATGACAAGTGAGCATGTTGGTCTGTCCTTATCTTCTCCAACCAAGGTTACTGTCAAGTACTCTGGTCCTGATGTTGCTTCAGGGTTTGGAGAGATACACAGTAACATCATTACCTCCACCACAAGTACTGGACTGATCTCGGTTGAGCCCAACTTGCCTGAGAAAATCACCATTCTATCATCTGGCGTTTCATCTTCATCAGAAGACACACTCAGACTCGAATCTGGAAAAATACATGTCATTACATCAAATATACAAGCAACCCCTGAAGCACAGCATGCCAAGCTAGTGACTGCTGTTCAAGTCCAATCAGCTGGAGGCCTTCCCCTAGAATCAGAGGCTAACAAAGCTGCGTCATGGACTGTTGAAGAGTCACAAAGCAGCAAGAGCTCGATCTTTGGGAGGTACTTCACAAGGGAAACATCAAGTGAAAAACGTGAAAGCAAAGAAACAATTGTTATAACTAAACAAATTACACACTCTTCGGAGCCCATCTCAGGTGAGACAGCCTCATCCATACAACGACTGAGAGACTCTATGCACTCTGAGAAAATGAGGTTCTTTGATGGAGCTGAGAAGTGAAATAACTTGATGCAAATTATGTCTAAAGATACAGTACAATCCATGGCTGGTGGGTTATGAATTTCACTGGTCATAGTCATGTGAGAGGAAAGCGAGAGAGGCAGAGAGAAAAAACATGCTTTCAACTGGAAAAGGTAGCTTCACTTACCAATCATAGTAAAGAATTTGTCAATCTTCAGGTGTTAACCTCGATCTCTGGTTGCATGTTGTTGACCTACAAAGAGATGGATTCATGTAATTCACACTGACAATGTGATCAAGTTGTTAATAAGCTGTGTAACTGAGTGCCCTTACTGCAAATTATGACAGGGCTTCAACAAATATCTTTGCTTATGGTACAGAACTAAAGTAAGCCATGTGTTTTGCCTATCAAAACTTAGCATTATCTTTGTCGTTTCATAGTTTTTAAATGTACAATTTCTCTTATTAATCAGATGATAACCACCAGTGCATTTGATTCAAGAACGATTGGTGTAGAAAACTGAACAAGACTGCTGCAAAAATCAATCAATGTTACTGACATTCCAAAATATTTTTACTGTAATTTCACTGTAAAGTTTACAGTAGAGAACACCTTCAATACAACCGTGCAGTATATGTCACAAAAATGAATATATATCACCAAGATATTCTTGTTGCTGTAGCTAAAATGTAAAGAAACAATAGCAATGCAAAGCTGAAATGAAACGCTTATGATGAAACAGCAAATGTACTGCTGCAACTATATTTTTAGTAATACTTTGCTACTTAGAACCTAATTTGCTACAATAAAATTATTATATCATGTTTTTTTTCAATATCACTGTACAAAGTGGGAATATTGAACGGGCTGTGTAAATAGCTTTTAATGACCTCTGGAGTTTTATTTGATTACTGCTCCTGTTTGTATTCTAATAGGCTTTAACTCAACGTGTTTGCAAAGATATACACAATAAATAAATATTATAATATGCAAAAAATGTGTCTGAACCTGATGACGACAGATCTGTATTTTAGGGCAGTGGCCTGATAGCTTTGTTGCCTTGGACCGCAGTTTAACTGGAGTGGGATTTTTTTTTTTCTCTGTTTAGTCCATTTTATTTCTTATTATTTATGGAAATAGATCAAATTCTGTGAAATTTGAGTTCACCAATTTTAGAATAACACATACCTATTAGTGCTACCAATACCAAATTAGGTCAAAGTGGGCTAACATTATTGAGAAAAATATTCAACATAAGCTTATGATCTACTGACAACACAACATTGACATGGGGAGCATAACACTTGTATTTGCACACTAGAGGGAGACACAGTTCACAAGTATATCTGTACTAACACTGTGTTCTTGGGATGAAATAAACGGTCAGAAAATGTGAATTATCTGTATAACACAGTGAAACTTCCTTGTGCTAGCTTAATGACAAAATTAGTGTGTTTCCTCATCCACAGAGGTATAAAGTAACTAAATACATTTACTCCAATTCTGGACTTAGGTGCAATTTTACTTGAGTATTTCATTCTAATGCCACGTTGTACTGTTTGTATTTCTACTCCACCACATTTCAGAGGGAAATATTGTACATTTTACTGTACCAAACATTTATTTGACAGCTATAGCTACTTTACAAAGGCCATTTTTCTACAGGACTTTTACTTTGATACTCTAAGTACATTTACTTGTCAATACTATTGCACATCTAGCGTTAAGTACAATTTTGAATGCAGGACTTCTACCTTTAATGGAGTAATTTAACAGTGCTGCATTCATACTTTTACATATTTATACTTTACAATGCAAGTAACGCAAGTTTACAGGCTTTGTTGATGTTTGATAGTTAATAATGCAAAAACGCCCCTTAACTTAAATTAAACGTTATAACATAAAATATAAAATGAGAGGACAATCTTCGTGTGTCTGTAAGTTCAGGTTTTAAGGTATAAAATGTGTCAAATTACCTGACAAACTCGGCTGCTAATGTTTGCTAACGTTACACAAATTTAAAATCATTAACGGCTGCTCCATTCAGCCCTGATTAGGTGCTGCCTTCAGGCCCTCCTCGTAAATTCTACCTTCAAGATGAACCGCGTCATGAGGCACTTTTGTACGTTTTTGGACCAGAAATGAAACTAAAATTGATGCACTTTTCTGGCTGGTTGTCTTTCACCAAGGAACAAGATGGAGAAGGGAATATGTTCACAGCTCACCAGGTACTCCACATTGTATTTAAATGCATTTAGCCTATATGATACCTAAATATACTGTGCAGCTATAGATTGCTAATACAAAATATGATCAACCAATAAATTATGATTGTGATTATTATAGGGTAATGGTGTGTAAGGGGGGATTCACAAGCAGCTGTGTATAAAGTTATTCAAATGAGCTCCAACTTTATCATCAGCATCAGTAATATAATAAACATTATTCTCAAATATTATTTATCATGCATAATGCATAGTTTTACTTTAGATACTTCAAGAATGTTTTGATGCTAATACTTTTGTACTTTTACTTACATTTTACATACCTCCATTGTGGTATTGCTGCTTTTACTTAAGTAAAACATTTGACAACTTCTTCCATCACTAAAGGAGACACAAAATGATCATAAAGAGATGTAAAATGACCGAAAAGAGAAGTGAAACAACCACAAAAGATCCTTGTAGGTGGGTCGCGGGGCTTTTTTCCTGTCTGTCCAGGGACACATTGTCTCATAATCCATCAATGAAAATGTATAACAGCTATGGGCCTATTAAAATATCTAATATCTGATCAGACACCTCCTTCATGGTATTGCTGGTGGATAAGAATCTTAACATTTAAAAACGCCTAAAATTTTTGCAGATTACTGTATATCCACTTACAGGAGAGAACGTGGATAATACACAAAGACTACTAGGCTTCTAAATACTAAAGTTTAATAAATCAATAGAAAATAATAAACAAAACAAAAAAAACATAAAACAATTTTGGGATGTTTTCATTTCCCTTGTAAAACGTTGGCACTTGCCCCTCCAATCAACAACACTGAAGAAAAAAAACTGCCCAACAGTTGAATCTAATCGCTGACCCGTGTCCCAAACTCCCCCCCTTCATAATCCGAAAGTTTCCGACAGTCGTTGAAGGCAGCACCGGTCCTGCTCCACTGCGCAGGCTCTGAACACTTTGATGCGAGCGGCAACTTCAGCGGTAGCCCAACGCGCCCCGCCGCCTGTCGCCCACAACAGCCCGCATCATCATCATCATCATCATCACCATCATCACCACCACCATCATCATCATCATCATCATCATCCTCCTCATCATCAGCAGCAGCAGCAGCATCAGTGTGATGAAGCAGCGGAGGACGGAGACCTTCCTGCTCTGAGACACTGGATCAGCCCGCAGACAGGTACGGAGCTTTTATTCGCCTTTTTACCACTCTGGAAACACTCAGACACCTTCATTCTTCATGTCTAACTCTGACCTAGAAGCTGCTTTTATTCATTTTAATAAAAGTAACTGAAGACTGATGAGTTTAACATTTAAAACTGCACCTTAAAGGTTCAGGAAAATTCATTAAACCTGTTTTACCTAGTGGTTTTCTGCGCTGGAGATGCTCTCAGTGTGTGGGATTGTGTGCAGAAAGCTCTCATCAGCCTGTGTAGTGTGTATAAGTGTAGGTGTAGCAGAAGCTGTGTTTTATATACTGGTATTTAAATCTATTAATATTATCTGCTACCTGTTGTGCGCCATGCAGGCAGGTAAACCTGTGTTCCATACCTGCACATTGTGGGCATTTATTAACATTACATATATTCAAAATGCATAAAGATGCATGAAAAATAAGTTTATCTGCCATTTAATCATCAACAAAGTGCATCTGAGTCAAAAAAATAGAACAGGAAATGTAAAGTGGGGCAACAAGCACAGCAGAAATCCAACTGAACTGCAACAAGCAACAGTGGAACATTTTTTCAAGGCTGCATGGTCAGTAAAGGAGAATATCACTATTTTTGGCCATAGATTGGATTTTATTTTTTTTTTTTCATGTCCTTGGGCAGTAAAAACTTCCTGGATTTATCCAAGGATCCTGCATTTGAGGAGGTGGCGGTGGTGCTGCTGCTGCTGCTGGGTCTGATTTAGTTGCAGAGATGGAAAAAGTGTTTGAAGTGAAGCAGGGGCGATAAGAGGGGAGAGAGTGCAGCGGTCATTCCTGCATTTCACCGTACTGTATCTGCACTAAAATGAAACAGTGGAGTCGAGCTGATTGTGTGTGGTCGTGCTGGAGGATGTCAGTTTTTGGGAACTGCTGCCCCTTTAAATGGACAGTCACCACCATGATGAATCTCGTGATGGACAGAGAAGACAGAGGAGGAATTTTATAATGTGTGAGGTCACACCATATACATCTTTCAGAAAGGATGGGGAAGGAAACTGGCTGCGAGCTCAGTACTTAAATGGAGATTTGGGTGTGTTTTAGCAGAGTGATTTCACTGTACATCAGGGTGCTTTGGCTTCTACAGCTGATTTCATATCTGCAACTAATTATTATTTTCACTATGGATTAATCTGCTGACTATTTTCTTAGTCTACTTAATGTGAAAATAATGAAAAATTCTTGTTGAAATTTTCCTGAAACCCAATGCGAGGTCTTCAAGGCTCAAACATATTCAGTTCATTATCACATAAAGAAAAGAAAAACAACATTTTTGCTTGAAAAAATTCTATTGACAGATCTATCAAATCAACTAATCATTTAATCTTTAGCTGATTTAGACTTTTTTATTAAATTTATTAATTATTAAAGTAGTTAAACAACAGATATTATTAAATAGTATTTTGCCTGATTAATCAATAAGTCAGTCAAAATAAAAGTAATTGATGATGAGTTTCGATAGTTGATTAGTTGCTATGAACAATTTAATTATTAAATTTTATCAAATAATTCAGACTTTCAAAGGCTGTAGGAAGGATTCAAGCAGTTTGTAACTAAGTACATTTACTCGTACTCTTGTACTTCACTACATTTCATGGGGAACATTTTACTCCACTATTTGAAAGTTATAGTTTCTAGTTACTTTGAAAATTGCTACTTTTGCTCAAAAGGAGTCGTTCAAGCTTTTGTGAAATATTGCACAACCATACAAAAACCAGAGTGTAAAACAATAATCCGCCATTGTACGTTTTTTGTGTGTGGAATTACGTCTTTGTAGGAAACCAATGGAGACTCTAAGAAGTTACTGCCTCCAGTAAAGACATAGAGCAGCGGCAACTGTTGCATTTACGGATTTTAAGGATTAAACAACCTAGATATAAGGTTTTAATTAGTGAGCTTTCGTTGGGTTGTTAGCTTGTAGCTGTAGTGTAGTTGTTTAGACAGAGCCAGGCTAACTCATAGGGATGACAATCATCAGCTGAATCCCAAGCCTCCTTCAGCTTCAGTGAGATTCAGCTTGTTAATCTGTTCGGACCAAAATTTTACTGTCGTAGTTCATTCTCACGGCTCTCACGGCGTCATTTTCAGCCACAGCTGGTAGAGAGCAGCTGGTAGAGAGCAGCTGGTGAACATAGTGGAGCATTTAGCAGCTAAAGAGCCAAATGTTTCCCTCGGGAGCTGGTGGAGACCAAAACAGAGCTAAAAGAGAGAGAGGGAACACTGGACTTAGACTCTTGAAGAGGACATAAACATTCAAATGAATGTGGATTTGAAACCAGTAAATAGACATATTTAACATTAAACAGTATTTAAAAACAGTTCTTAGTTTCAGGGTTCATGGCTCAGGATTCTGTTTTTGAGTTTAAGATTAATTCTTATTTTTGTGTTTCAACACTGATTTACTGCCTTAATCAAGCAACATCTAATGAGTCAAGGGACATGAACTCTTCATTTCACAAGAACTTTAAGAAGGTGAAACAATCTAAAATAAAGTGGCTCTCCAACCTAAAAATCCTAAAAAGATAACATCCTTGGATCGGTCCAGGATTTTATTCTATACCAATATATGATTAATGTCACATATTTTAAACATTCAGTCACCAGTGGAAACACCTGCTGCTGCTTCCTCTTCACACAGCTAAAAATGTGGGCACTAGTCAGCAAATAAAGAGAGACAAGTGTCAAACATTTGATTTCTCTGCTGAGGTAGGAGTGAAGCGGCTTCCTGTAAACAGTCAGACTTAAACACATGGATAACCTTGTTCATACCTAATGGTTCAAATAAGGCATTATTATTCAGCTGAAGGGTAAAATAAAAAAAAGGAAAGACATGACTGAGGCGTCACGCCTGGCATCGACATTTAAATTCTTGTGTCTGTCACGCTTCACATCACCGCACTTCTGAGAAACAAGCTCAGACTGAAATCATGTGCAGGGCTCCACAGGCCTCCTCTGCAGTCGCTACCTTCAGAGCAGCAGAGCCGGATATAAGACCGACCGGAGTGACCGCACAGATTCCCTCCAGAGGAACAATGCCAGCCTCTGATGAGGAATAAAAGGCTGCATTGTCTCTCTGCCGCGAGGATGAAGGGCAGAAGCAATACCAGGTTTCACAGAGAAGTCTCACAACTACAAGGCCCCGTCCTGACGGCGGTAATTGCTACGTAACGGCACACATGAATACCCCCCAAATCAGCTCTCAGCCTCGTGCGCTCAGGCAAAGTGCACTATTCAGACAATCAGAGGCATAAAATCTCAATCGCTCGTCCCCATGGCAACAGCAACTGCCGGTCTGATTGTATGGAAAGTGGTGTTTCTGATAACTTGTCACATGCAAAGTCTGCGTTTCACTAGTGAGCAGAGGACTGATACTGTTGGCTGTTTTTTTTTTTGTAACACAGATTTTTATCAATGTCACTTTAAAACTGAATCTTTCCAATATCATTTTGCACCTACTGTCACTTTAAGAAGTTAATAATGCACAACCAGGTGTTCTCATATAGGAAAATAATGGATCAGGCAGAGGTGACGGATGCCATGATGTTTCCTCTGCTCATAACATCAGTTAAAGCTGCTTCTGTATAATCGATATTTATCAACTGACAGCGTGACAAGGTGAAAAGGGAGTCATTTCTATCGCCTGAATCTGCAGCTTGCAGAGCTTCACAGTGAGTTTCAGCTCATTGTTTATCTGAATAGCAAAAAAAAAAGGTCTAAAAGCCACTGTCCACTACCTGCTCAGCACCAAACAGACACAGGTAGAGACCAGCTGGTGAACAGAGTGCAGCATTTAGCAGCTAAAGCGCCAGATGTTTCCCTCGGGGGCCGGTGGAGACCAAAAACAGAGATAAAACAGAGTGATCAGGTGGTTGCAAATGAACCACCATGTTGCTCCATTACTACTGGGTGTGTGACTAACCAACTGTTTCCTCACAAGTTCAACGTGTCACCTTAATCATGTTGATATGTAAATGTTGCATTCACAACTTCTGCTGTTTTGTAGTTTGCTCTGAAGAGACTGAACACATACTGGTGCCTAGCTGGTAAAGTTACAGTAACAGCAGGGTGAATGCAGTCATGGAGGGATATTGAACCTCAATACTTTATATCTTTATCATCATGTATTGAAACTTGTCATCAACAACCTGTTCAGATTCTTCTTCGGTCTTCTGAAACATCAAGCTTGGCCTTTGGGTCTCGTTGGTCGTTGAGCGTGTTGCCACAACGAGTTCGGGGGTGTTACTCAAAGGTGCTCTGTGGAGTTTGTGACCACCAGTTGAGCTGTAGAGTTTTTTGTGAGTGGGTCCCTGTTTTGTTCTGCACAAGGAACCACGCACGTGCCTGTGCAGGTGACGACATACCTTACGACCACCCCTGCTTGATATCCTGTTGGTGGTGCTAAAAACAGCTCAGACCTGCCAAGACAAGGTGTCCCCTGGTACTAAGACATTAGCAGCAGATCCTTAAAAGTCCTGTAAGCTGTGATGTGGAGATCAGTTTTATTCCAGCACATCCCCCAACACCCTGTCACCAGTTCATGTCAGTAGTCACAACTGCTGCCGAGGAGCATCCCACAAGCCTTAGAGCCTTGCCCAGTCGCATGGCCATAACAACCTCGACATGCACCGTTGTTAGGAGATAATCACCGTTATTTGCCTCGTCTGTGAGTGGTCATAATGTTTTGGCTCATTGGTGCACAATTCCTGCAAATGGTTTCACACTATTCAACTGATCTGCAGAGGAAATACAGCAATGAGGAAATATACAGCAGTGAGGAGGACTGTAAAACACGGATGTAAACAACGCAGGTTTTAAAAATATTCAAAACGTTGGCTTTGCAAATGTTTTACGAGGAAGGATGAGGACTTAACAGATTAGTTAAACCTCAATGATAAAGTAGGATCCTTGAAACAGTTAACTGTGCCAAAATGATACCTGAGTAAACTGCACTGATACCAAAACATCCCTTTTTAATATTTTGCCTGTGTTCAAGTGTGATGCATGATGTTGAAATTAGAAATAATCTAATAAATGAAGTAGCGGACAAGAGTCTGAGCAAACATCCTCAAACGCTGCACTGACCCAGAGGCTGAATCTGTGTAGGTAAGAAGACCGTGAACATTTAACAAATCACATCTGTCAACTTAAGACAAAATGAGCCAAAAGAAGCTGAGAAACACTGTATAGACGGATTATTGATCGCTGGCAATCGGCATGTGTTTTCCTTTCAGGATGACCGAGGTGATGAACTCTCTGGAGCCCGGGACGGAGGACTTCAGCGGGGGAGGAGCAGGAGGAGAGCAGGCCACAGTATCCTTTCCAGGTGTGGGTGTGTGTGTGTGTGTGTGTGTGTGTGTTTAGATTATTTCAACACAGTCTTGTTTTGTTGTTGTAGAAAACATACAGCAGTGAGTCAGAAGAGTGAGCAAGAGTAAAAATGTGGGTTGATGTGACTGAGGTCATTTTAAGCTGGACTCAGTCCTGCTGTGAGTAAACGGTGTGTGTCTTATCCAGCTGAGCCACATGGACGAGTGAGTGACCATCTGCTACTGTAAAGATTTATTTTCTAAACGTAATGTATCATCATGAAGCGAAGTGTGAAGAGTGATCACTTATGTTTTGTTTTTTTGGCGCCAGTGAGTTAAATCTCCCAATTTCTCTCTGTGCTGGTGACGTTTTTTAAAAAAGTAACTACATCCTTCCTTAACTCATGCAAGACTTTTAATAATAGTCTGTATCGACATTGTGAACACAACTGCAGGAGAAACAGTATCACTTACACAATATAAGATTTCTTATTGTATGTTTTATTATGCTAGAGTTGGACACATTGATTGTTGGGTAGTTGCAAGGTATGACAAGGTGTGCATGTCACATTTGGAGGCCTGCTATTGGCAGATTCAGAGCATTTAGAGCAGACATAGCTGTAGTCCTCAGTTTAGTTTTATACATTCCTGCCCAGATCATCGCTTTCAACAATGTATGAAGACATAATTTAATGTGAAATGTAAAATGTCGGTGATAGGCATATGCACATTTGAACTAGAGATTTGTGGGTCATCTTCAAGTCCAGCTGCTAATCTGCTGAAGCTTTCATCCGACACACCGTCTGCAGCTAATCCGATTTTTACCGCATTGTTGTTCTTTCACATGCGGCACGACTAATGTTTTCTCCAAACTCCCCCAAATATGACAACCCTTCAGTTAACCTTACATAAGCACTCACCAGCTCTTCCCAGATACCCATGAAAGGTATCCAAAGTTGTCCAAGAGGCTTCCCTCCATCGTGGTGGAGCCGACGGACGGAGCCGAGGTGGAGAGCGGGGAGCTCCGCTGGCCACCGGACGAGCCGAGCTCTGCGGACGCCCAAACTGAAAGACAGAGTGCAGAGGAACAGACTGCAGGTGAGGAGTGTGAAGTCGTCACTAGTTTGTCTTCTTTAATTTGATTATATTTCATTTAGGTTCAGTTACGGCCAATTAGAGGAGAACCAGGGCGTATAGACACAAGTCACATGGTCTCATCAGCAGGTGTTCAGCTAAATGCTATGTGTCAGTTCTGACTTCCATATCCTATATTTGTATATTGGGAGGTGAACTGATGCATTGATTGTCAGGTATTTCCATGGCAGTATTTGATACCATCCTTCCAATGAATAGAACTAAATGAGGAAACACTCTAGACCATTGAGATGGTGTCATAAAACTTGGGATACATTTTTTTCCCCAGTCTTCGTGGCACCAGGCAGGGATCTACATCTGTCTGCCTCTGGTTGGGCCTTTGTGTTGCATTCATGCAACACCGGCTTCATGTTGTAAAGTGGAACTGAACAGCACGTTTGCTTTGAAACGTTTGTGGTTCGTGGTTCTAACTTTAGTGTTGGGATATTGTTCGGCCAACCCAGTTCAGCTAAAGATCTATTATCTTAATGTGGATATTCTTATCCAGGCATTTCTTTTATTCTTCTATTTAGTTTTACGTTCATCTACTTATGTACATTTATTATCCCGATTTATTGATTTAAGAGATATTTTACATTAAACAAGGAGTGCATCAAACTCAACTATGAGAGGACTCATGGACAAAAATATCTTGACTGTTGCAGAGTTTGTTTCTTTTTACCAAGCATTTAAAAGATGCTTGTAGCCAAAAATAAATGTATAAATTATAAAAGAAAAACAAGCAAGCAGGTATCAAGCAGGTATGAACGGGGTCCAAGCCCCCCGAGCCATACGCGCCTGTCAAGGTGATGCAAGTCGTCCCTGCAGGTCCTCAAGCGCGATGTCTCTGAGCGGTCATTATAAAAGGAAAATAAAGGGGAACATGTTTGTGTTCTTTGCTGCTCAGTCAGAAACTAAACAATGAATGTTTAGCTGTACACATGCCGAGAGTAATTTGAAAGTCTTGTGAATAACACAGCGTCTTCGTGTTCTTCCAGATGAGGAGCAGTCGAGTGTCGGGGTGGATGAAGAGGCTTCAGAGGCGGAGACGCAGGACTCCAACTGAGCAAACTCTCCTCCTGCGAAATCCACTGTTTAACTGTGAGTGCGTCCAGACTTGGATGAGTTAAAAAGAGTCCCGTAGGAGAGCACGTTGTGGGGATAGAAAGATCACGGAGACGGAGGAGGAAGGGTAGAAAAAAAAAAAGATTCCCAAACCCCAGTTCACAGGGGGCTTGGAGCCAAAGTCGAGTCGGCACCTTCAGAATAAATTTACAGAAGGTGTTTTTCTTTTCATGTACCGTGATGATGAAGGCGCTTTTTTCTGTACACTAATAAAGATGATTGAAGGGACCAAGTTGACAACCTCCAGTTTGTACTTTTACCTTTTGACTAAATTTCCTTTTCACAAGAAGTTGTCTGCCTGGAAACGAAAAAAAAAAAAAATACTATAACTGTCATTAGCAGACATGTTTTTAACGTCAGAATTTCCCCGTTACATTCCAGCCTTGTGATTTTGATATAAATACACATTTTTAATTTGATAAATTAAAGTAATTTTCTCTCTCTGGCTCCAAGCCCTCACCCTCCAGATTCCCATGATATCATCTGCACATCTGATCTGGACAGATGTTCCTAAATGCTGTCTTAAGTATTTAGCTCATGTGTGCCATACTACTTCTACTACTACTAATGGTAGCTACTGTATTTTGTGCACAGATTTTACATTAACTTTAGATTTAAATTACATCACTGTTTGTTAAGTGCTCACTGCTGTAGTTTGGTGATCTTGGTCTCACTATTCACTTTGTAATAATAGCTACGATGTTTTAAAGAGAAGTATTTAACTAAAAACAAATTCGACACTTTATTCGATGTTATGACATTCTTTATTATATTATAATATGTGAGCAGTGTCTTCATGCAGTAGGTGTTAAAGGGAATGTAATCGTGTTCTGTTTTACTTAAGATATTGGAGCAATATGTTCACAGGAATTTAAAGGTAGTCTATTTTGTTACAGACTACAGAAGTAAAAAGAACCAGAATATTTTAGATGTGTGTCGCTTGTCACAGACATGATATTTTTTAAAATACTGGAAGCCTAAATTATTGCACAAGTAATAAACCTTTTCAAAATTCTTACAACGTTCTTTAATTCATTGTTCCTGTGGTTTGTACTGGTCGAAGCGAGCGTTAGTTTCACTCTGACTGGTTGAGGATCTTTGCAGCTGTAGGTTTTGACTGATGCTGAGACACATCTGGATCCAGCAGATGCAAATCTGTAATATAACAAAAAATCAGTATGTATAACTGTCTGGACTGACGTATGTATGCAAGTTAAACAGTTCGACCTTCAAAATAAAATATTAGACAACTAAGCCACAGAGATGTAAAACTACTACAAGGAGATACAAAACATCCACAGAGTCACAAAACGCAGACAGAAATAAAATGTCCACAAAGAGACGTTAAATTACCGCAAGAGACAAAATGACCTCAGAGACGCAAAACATTCACGAAAAGATGTTCAATTACCACAAGATGCATAATGACCCCAAAGGGACCAAATGTCTACAAAGAGATATTAAATGACCTCAACAAGATGCTAAATGTCCACAAAGAGACACAAAACGTCCAAAGAGATATAAAATGACTTTCGGTCCGGGGGTCTTGCCTCTGTGTGAGAGTAATCTGTCCATGGTTGTAGCCATGAGTTACACTTATGTGTGGACCAGTAATAAAAGTAGTTTCTTATGTCTCTCAGACAACTAAGCAGCTTCTTAGCAAGAATTGTCCCATCTGTGATTTGAGCAGTCCCTACGTCACTCTGCACGTTAGTTACTGGTTCAGTAGAGGCTTTAGAGAGCTGTGAGATCCTCCAGTCAGCAGCACGCCACGGAAAAGATCAGTCTCCCAGATGTAATTACAACTTGGAATTTGACGTGAACAGTATTTACAAGTCTGAAACTGGTAATTTGGGTAACTCCCACGAGACACGAACGCAACATAAGTCCAGTATTCACAGTACATCTGTCCTTCCTGCCTCACACTAGATTTCCCTCATACAAACCTCCTTTACTGCGATCTGATTCTTAAACTGCACGTCCTTTTTACAAGTGGCAAACCCCCCCCCCAAAAAAAACGCATTAACCCTTACAGCGCTTTTGACCCTTACAAAGGCTTTCTTCTGTGACGCTGCTTAGTCACTCTGGTTTTTGAGGTACGAGAACAAAAAGTCTTAATAAAATAGTCAGTGGTCAGGACGTTTTTGTTCGGAACAGTAAAGCACTGACTGAAAGGTGAGATCTGAAAGCCTCGAATCTCAGCAGCTGCAGAGGAAATGATTGTGTCAAAGTTGTGAAAAACAACTGGAGGTACATCGTGTTTTTTTTTTTTATAAGAGAGCAAAAGTTTTACTTACTGCCCTTTTACAAAAAGAAGTGCAATTTTCATCAAATCAGTGTCTCTGTGTTACATCTTTTCTGCTCAGAGCGGCAAAATTACCTCTATTAAAGAAGACATATTATGGCCTTTCTAGAGTTCATCATTTTATTCTTGGTGTCTACTAAAATAGACCTACATTAAATATGTTGCATCTACATCTAAAATCACTTTCGGGCTGTAGCTACACATTTTGAAAAAAATCACACTGCATGGAAAGTATCTTGCTTGTAGTAAGAAACGTCCTGTGGGAGCAGCCCTGCAGTATTTCTCTTCCTGTGTGTTCACAGCGGAGGAAGCTCAGGTGCGTTTCTTCTCCTGAGCTCGAGGCTGCACCGAGAATCCAAACTCTGTTCTTATTTTAGTCTCCGAGTTACGCTCATAAATCACAGTTATTCAAGGACAGTAAACCCAACATCTGCTGTACCCACCGGTGCATTTCACGTCATGGCCACGGACCGGTATGACGTCTCGGTGCTGGAGAAAATGAGTTTGTTCATCAACCAACCGGATAAATAGACAAATGGCAGCAGATGTTCTTCATCTCTCAACATTAAATCATTTTCATGTGTAGTGTTGACTGTAGGGGGAATCTGACACTTTGTTTGGTTTTCCCTGTGTCCTGACATGTTTCCATAGTTCATGTCATCCAGTTGTGGATTTGCTCTGCTGCTTGTAATCGTCGCCTGGAGGCTGATGAGAGTAAAAGTGAAAGCTAATGTGATGAAAACACAGTAAAGGCTTTACCAGCACTTTATTGTAACCAGTTAAGTATATATATACACACTATGATAATGTACTTTAAAACAATTTTATTAGCTTAACTTTTATTTATTTAGTCCATATTTATACTCCTCTTGATGTTTTAGTTCCCAGTAGGACTGCAACTATGAGAGAAAAAAGCAACTTTACCAACTGATAAAATGTTGAAAAAGTTTATTTTTAATTGATGAAAGAGTTAAACTATTAACTAATCAGTGAACTGGAAAACTAAATGGATGAATTACTGTTATTCTTCAAGTGGGGAAGCCAGTGAGGAATGATTTTGGTTATAAGCGAGAAATCGTATACAAATAGTCACATGTTGGCACCAGTATCACCTGTGGTGGCTGAAGTCTTATGAAGTCTTAGTGGAAGTACAAGCTCAGAAAAGATAAGAAGATTAAGGGATATGTTTGAATATGAAAAATACAAATGCACTGTTTCATAATACAGATTCAACAAGCTAAATGAAATTTATCAAACTGCTGGAGAGGATGTCAGCACATAACAGCAGCTTTCCCTATTACAATCCAAACGGATATGTACTTCTTTTTTCAATTTAAACTACATGATGTTGTGAAATATTGTTTGAAGATGACAATAAAAAGACTAGAATGAGTTGATTAATTGATTAGTTGAGAATAATTTCAATAACCGTCTCATTTATTGATGAATGAAAATTATAATAATCTGCCATAATTAAGAGGTCAAATTACTCCAAATACATTTAATTAAAGAGCAAAACATGCATGTATTTGCATTTTTAAAATGCAGTAACTTTAAATTTATCCACTGAGGCAGTTCTTGGACCATGTTGTGCACAAAGAAGAGGGAAACTTAAATTAAATATAAAACTTTAAAGAACTGGTTAGTTGCAGGTAAATAATAGAAATGTTAGTGTTTGTAGTTGAGAGGCTTTTTGTCTCCGTCTGTTTCTGTGTCTCTTCCTTTCTGTGGTGTATACACACACACTCCAGCGAACAGGCAACACGACCGGCGCTCCCACGTACACTTTGATAGTTTGTTGAGGCTGATAAACTGTTAAAGGTCGGGTTGGGGTCTTGATCCAGACAGCGAGATGGATGGCAGGATCTCCATCTTATTTCTTCCGTGCCTCGTTCGCTCTCTGGATCTGACCTTTCGGATGACAGCCTTGTGAAGAGCACTTCGTCGGAGCAAGTGGGGTCACTCCTGGGAAAATGAAGGGCTGCGGGGAGCGAGGCTGCGAGGGGGGGGAGGGGGGGAAACAATGCAGTGTCAATTATCTCTCAAATGTCACAAGCTGTTTTTCAGAGGAAGGAAGACTCACACTGGTCTCTCCTCTTACACGAACAGACTGTGTCTCCCTCATATTTTACATGCAATTCCCTCAAAAGGTGGAAGCTTTTAACATCTGTTGCTGCAGCGTTGCAAATTGTTATGGACTTGTACAACAAGATTCACCGATGCAGCTCATGCATACCAACAGATCTTAGTGTTTCTGACTGACAAGTTTACACATATTCACTGTATCGGCTTTTCTTAAGTTTCCCTCTCTCTCGATCAGAAGTAGAAACATTTACTTAAAGCAGCTATAATCTATATTTTTATGTCAAATGACAATGTGAAAACCATATGAAAGGGTTATCTACTGAGAATTATCACCTGAATTGTCTTTGCAGAGCTGTATAGTGAATTTCAGCTCATTGTTTATCTGTCCGGACCACATACTGCTCTGGTCATTTTCAACTGCAGCAGGCAGCTGTTTTAAATAAAAAAAAGACTCTTAAAGCCACTGTCCCCCACCTGCTCAGCAGCAAACAGCAGACTGACACAGTTAGAGACCAGCTGGTGAACACAGTGCAGCATTTAGCAGCTAAAGAGCCTGATATTTCCCTCAGCAGTTGGAGGAGACCCAAAACGGAGCTAAAAGAGAGGGAATACTCGACTTGGATTGATCAGACTCCAAATGAATGCTTGTGATGCTCTGTAACTGTTTGGTGTGTAATAAACAACTGTTTTCTATCAACTTAAAAAGGTGATGATATGTTTAGTTTAGTTTATTTCGGTCGTTTTGCAAAACTAAGATGGTAAACATGCTAACATTATACCTTATTTGTCATTGCGAGCCTGTTAGCGTGCTAATGTTAGCATTTAGCTAAAAGAGAGGTTGAAAATAACTACATGTAATTATTTTTACTTTAATACAAACTTTAAGGTGCTGGAGATTTTTGGAGGTTTTCTACTTCCACTACTGTAAATA